GGAGCCCCATTTCTGATCAATTTTTAGGGGCTGCATTTCAATGGTGGGCAGAACCAACAGCAAAAGACATGTGTATGGCAGCTGGTGGCTGCGATGGTTTCCAAAAGCTCTTGGAATATTAGTTTAATATCATTTTATCATCTTGCATATTTTAATTACATGTATTGACCAGTTTGCTTTATATTATATTATTTTTTTTTAAATTCTACCTGTTTGAGCTAGCCAAAGTGGTGACAGTCAGGCCCCAGGCACACACCCACCTCCAACACTTTGCTGTCATCTGCAGCTATCTGCTGCCTGAGGCAATTGTCTCATTTTGCAAAGCCAGCCCTATGATGAGATGGCAGCAGCTTTGCGCTTAGGTGTCACTGCAAATGCTAATTCACCAACCACTGTCTGAGTGCTTTCAAAATAATTGCACGATCCAAATGAGCTTCGACTGAGAATGGGTTATAATTTTCAGACTTTGCAGAATGAATGAAAATCACAACATATGACTCTTTCTCTATGTAATTTTTTTGTAAAAAACAAACCCAAAAGCTACATTATTAACCAAACCTTTTGCAAAAGACCCAAGTGTGAGCATAACACTAACCCGATGTGGTGCAACGGACAGAGTACTGGAGTGAGACTTGGAAGAGCCAGGTGCGAGTCCACACTGAGCCATGAAACTCACTGGCTATCCTTGGATTTTCTGTACCTTGGCTCAGTCATTAATCAAAATGGAGATTGCAGTCAAGAAATCAGAAGATGACTAGGACTTGGAATGACTGGAACTGGGTAAGATCCTCAAGTTTAAAGAAATATCACTAAATTGTTGTTGTTCTGTGCCTTGAATGCATGTCCAACATATTGTGGCCCCAACGGAAATCTATCACACAGTTTCCTTGCCAAGATTGTTCATAGGGGGATTGATTTTGGCTTCTTCTGAGGCTGAAGGAGTGTGACTTCTCCAGGGTCACCCAGTGGGTTTCCATGGCCAAGCTGGGATTTAAACCGTTCTCCATTGCTCCAAACCACTACACTACACTGACCCTCTATATCATCAAATACCAAAGTCAGAATCATTCAGGCCTTGGTATTTCTGATTTCTATGTATGGATGTGAAAGCTGAACCGTGAAGAAAGAGTTCTACAGAAAGCATGGACTGCTAAAAAGATAAATAAATGGGTTTTTAGAGCAAAGCAAACCTGAACTCTCACTTGAAGTGAAGAAGACACTTCATAAGTGCCTTTCACTTATGTTGGACATATCATAAAGACAACATAAGTGAAAGGCAGTAGGCAAAGACAAAGGTGGATTGATTCAGTCAAGGAAGCCACAGCCATTAGGTTTGCAAGATCTGAGCAGAGCAATTGATGACCAGGGCTCTTGGAGGTCTCTCATTCACAGAGTTACCATAAGTCAAAGCTGACTTGACAGCAAATAGCAACAGATCCTTTAGCCAATCTCCCTCCCTCCCTCCCTTCCTCCCTTCCTTCCTTCCTTCCCCTCTCTTTCCCTGACCCACCTCCCAGGGTAGCTGTGAACACAGAGTGAGGAAGAGCTTGTTTTCATTGACGAAAAAGTAACATACAAAGGCAACTAATAAATACAACTGTCTCCTCTGATGGACAGTAGCCTCCGGGATTCTCTGGCAGGAATTTCCTTCTGTCCTGTTGCAATCCTAGATCTTTCAACTGAAGACACCAGGGACTGAACCTCAGCCTGAAAGCATGCCAAGTATGTTTTCTATCATTAAACTATGTCTCTTCAGCAGCAAACTCATTAGCAGACCTGGCCCTCGATAAATAAAGAAATCACCCCCACTCTTCCCGAGTTGAAAAGGCACCAAGCTTCAGCCGTATGTCAATGACAAGTCTGATATGGTTGTAGTTATCAGAAGTAGCCTGCCAGATGGTTAAGTGCCAGCCCTTGGCCTAATGCAACATCTGTTTTTTGGCTGCCATCACCCACTGCTGGCAGGAACTGTCTTCTTCCAGTTTCCATTCATGTCAACCTCTCTGCTCCCCAACTCCCAGGATTTTTTACCAGGATGCCTCTTCTCTGACTCAGAAAGAGGTGATAGAATATGCCGACTGGGACAACGGAGCACAATATAACACTCCGATAACCACCATCACCCTCTGACATCCGTCTACTGGTAATAGTTTCCACTCTTTTGCAAGCAGGAGCTGCCTTCCTCCAACAGGAACTGGGATCAAGCGAAGGAATCCACCACCTTGCACTGAAATTGTGTCCCACGGAGAGGGTGCAGGATTCCCAAAAGGACTTAATTCAGGATGGAGACACCAAGTCTTTAGAATGTTGCCTTTGTCAGCTTTCTCAAGCTTCCAAGAGTGATAATTTTCCTCATTGAGAGGATGAGAACCTGGAAAGATCTCCCATATCTCTTTGGCAGAAGAAGGTTGTATCTTCCTCCTTCCCCACTCTTTCTCTCCTTTCTCTTTCTCTCCTTTTTTGTTGACCATATAAGCAACTTCTAGTGGGGATGGCAAGGGCAATGGCAAGGGCTGAAGTCCATACCCTCCAACATGTCACAGATGAGCATCAGGACTCATGTGGCCAAGGAACATCTGAGTGTGGTCAAAATGGCAAAAGTTATTAATCAATCAATTTTATTTATGGTCTTCAAGCAAAGTAACAAGGTATTAATGTGGGAAAACACACAAGCTAGGAGAAGCTGAAGCAGTTGGCTTTTGCCTGCATCTACAGGAAAGGGAAAGATTCAGGAAAAGACTTGACAGTTGAAATTTCCTGGGCATCTCATTCAGTAGCTTGTCCATCCCTGGCTTAAATGTCTTCTCTCTAAGTGACTTATATCAGCCTGCTTCAACCTGATACCCTCTGGATGTGACTGACTTCAGCTTCCGCCATTATCACATAACATGGCCAATGGAAGCATGATGGGAGTTATAGTCCAATACATCTACAGGCCCATAGGATTAATACAGAAGAAGAGAGAGAAGGAGAAAGGAGTCCATAGAATGGAGCCACGAAAGTCAAATCAGGATCAAACTGCATTAATTCTGCAATGTGGCAGCAGCCTGATTTATTTCAGTTTGAGGTTTCGTGGATAGTAAACTATTTTTTCACATGCATTCATGGAAATCCAGTAATACACTAGCTACAGATATTTAGGCATAGTTACCTAGTTCTGAAACTGAGATCAGAACATAACTGAATGATATTTCCCATAATCTCTCCCCCACCATTAGATCACTCCTTTATAATCAGAGTGCCCTGTTTAATTCATATTGCATTTGTAAATTTGTTTTAAGTTAAATTTTAATGTTGTTATGAATTTAATATATTTTTAGGGTGTGTGTGAATGTTTTTTGTATTGTATGGGATTGGGCTTTTAGATTTGAAGCCGCTTTGATAGCCTCGGCTAAAGATGGGATATAAATAAATTATTATTATTATTATTATTATTATTATTATTATTATTATTATTATTATTATAATAATAACTGGATACAGAAATGTCTGACTTCAATGTAAGTGACATTTAGTAAGCCAACTTCATTACTTCATTACTACCACACCAGCAACCTGAAAGACCTATAATAATAATAATAATAATAATAATAATAATAATAATAATATTTTTTATTTATATCCCGCTCTTTGGGGACCCAATCAGGGCGGCTTACAACAATAAAACCATACAATATATCCCAAAACATAATCCCTCCCCCCCTCTACACAACTCTCTGTGTAACTTCACAACTTTACAAGAGTCACAATTCACATCTTTCTGTATCCTATTACATTCTGTTCCCACTCCCACAGCTACGTGACTTGTGGCTTAAACACCTATAGTTGCTGTGATATTGTACACACAAGTGGATCTGAAGAAGCAGATTGATATCCAAAAAGCTCATGCTGAAATAAATCAAGTTAGTATTAAAAGTGCTACTAGATTCTTCCGCCACTCAACTTTCCTTTTTATTCTGGTGGCACCAGCATCTTTCAAGATTTCCAGATGGTGTCGGCTGTTACTTTTTGGTAACTGGTATTGGTTTTGATAACCTGTTTGGAATCACCGCAAGGACCAATACTGGCAGAAACTAGATAGAAATGGCTTAAATAAAAATAGAAATCCTAGAGGGGATCTTGTTAGCTTTGAGTCATATATTCTCTGCTGTGCAATCTGCCAAGATCTGTCAACTTGCGTCACAAAGAGTATCTATACGGATGCAAGGTCTGTGAAATACAGATTAACTCCACACCATGACTGGGGCAAATGTAATTTGTTTGTACTTCTTTGTACAACATCAGCTCTAGGTTCAATCTCTGGAGTGGAATCTGAAAAATGAAACCCAACAACTAAACTCCATCTTTCTATCCATGGATGCAGAAGCCAACAAAGAATCAAGACCTGCTTTTGTGGACACAACTCCCAGAATCCCTAACCAGAAAAGGCATGCTTGTTGGGGGATTCTGGGAATAATTGAGTTAGATTCTATATCACAATCTATGTTGATTAATTTTACAAATCCTTAGGTATGTTGCAGAGGCACAATGAAACCCTGTTACTGAATTGTGAATGTGCATATCAGGCACTTTCAATAGTGCTCTAAGGCGCATTGGATACTACTGATGTGCATCAGGTGCTTCTGTTGTGCTCCAGCATTTCTTAACTGGTGTCTGGATGCAAACTGGGGAGGGCACCAGTGCAAACTGGTGCAAATTGCACATTGGGCCATGACGCATCAGTCACTCTACCATCATGCAATGGATGTCCATGTGTAGTAGCCCGAAATGCACACTCACAACAGCCCCTAGGTGAACAAAGACATTGTGAAACTGCTCAGTTCTATTTCCTGCAAACACATTTCCATTTTTTGTTGTTGTGTGCCACCAAGGCATTTCTGACTTATGGCAACCCTAAGGTGAACCTATCACGAGATTTCCTGACATGATTTGTTCAGAGGTTAGCCATTGCCTTCCCCTAAGGCTGAGAGAGTGTGACTTGCCCAAGGTCACCCAGTGGGTTTCATGGCCAAGCAGGGAATCGAACCCTGGTCTCCAGAATTACAGTCCAAACCACTCAAACCACTATGCCACACCATGAAGACCTAAGTCCCATACTGAATTCCAGCCACGGTTCAAAAACCAATTTCCCCAAGCTCTGCTAACAAAGCTGTTCTCTCTGGGTGCATCTACACTGTAGAAATAATGCAGTTTGACACTGCTTTAAATGCTTGGCAACACGCCATGGAATTCTGGGACTTGTAATTTTATAAGGTCTTTATAAGGCCGTCTCTGTCAAAGTGTGCTGGCGCCTCACAAAACTATAAATCCCAGGATTCTGTACAATGGAGCCATGGCAGTAAAAGTGGTGTCAAACTGCATTATTCCTACAGTGCAGATGCACCCTCTGTTTGCAGTGGCCAGCTTGTGAATCCTATTGGTCTTGTAGCCAAAACAACCCCATCCATGTACTAGAAAGAAGTATAGGCAGGCTTGGGAGGACCTCAAAACTTCCAAAGGTATTTAAAAACATTAACTAGGAAAAATCCACCAAAATGGGGAATGAGGACATCGTAACAGTCCAATGGGAATTAAATAAGGCTGTCGGAAGAAAACTAGATTGAGCGAATGGGAAACCAAGAGTTCGGTAATGGAATAAAGTGTCTCATATGCTAAATGCCACTTCACGCTGCAACATTTTGGTGCAATCCCCAATTATAAAATCGCATACATCAAGACGCAATGACAGGCAGACAGTAATGACAGTGAGAAAATAGGTTAAAAAGGAGACAAGAAAAGTAGATCATGTAAATTAACCAGGCAGACACATCTTCCAAAGGAAATAAAAGGATGTCAGATGGATTTCTTAGGGCAAGATCACAAGGGATTTCTTTTTTTCTGCCATGTTCCTTCCAGATGTGTTGCTACTCCCATGTCTTCAAGGGTAAAGGCTTATTCACCTTAGGGCTGCCACATGTTGGAAATAACTTGAAGGCACGCAACAACAGAAGAGGAAACAAGGAAGCCTGACGGGGTTGGTACATAATTTCTATGTCCCTGTTCATCAGAAAGTCCCAGCACTTGGACCCTGTGAGCCTTGACAACATGACACCACTGGATCCCACCAAACATGCCTGAGACGCAGATGTTGATAAGAACAAGAACCTTTTCCTAAAATGATCTTAAAAAGGTGGCCAGTCTGTGCCAGAAGGCAATGGCTCTTTTAATTTACTGCAACATTACTGTCCTCTTCAAGCATTCAATATAGCTTTTAAACCCAAATTTAATTACAGCCCTGGAGCCCATTTATTGAGTTCTGGAACAAGACAGTGCCAACTAGGAATGTCAGACACCAAGTACTGGCCCTGATCCTATCCGATCCATCTAAATTAACACAGACTGAAGAGACTTTTAGTTTTGTTACCTTAGGGGTGTGTGGGTGTGTGTATTCTATGTCTAACAAACAGTCTCTGCATATACATAAACTTTTAAACAAATTCAACTGGCTTTGGACAGAGTTCTCAGAATCAACCAAGGAAAGCCAAAGCTATTTTGCTGGCTGGCTGGCTGACCAGCAAACAGCAACCACACAAACACAAAGACACACAATTACATTCAACACAGAATCTAATATTGAAGGCTAGTCAAATGTTATTGATACACCAGCTAAGATCTCCCATAAACATCATTCCCTAGGTTTAGCACCAAAAACACAACAATAATGTAAACAGCAAAGAGTCTTGTCCTATTTTAAAGGCTCACCAGATTTCTTTGGCATATTTCTTTGTGGAGAGTAGCCCACTTCATCTGTACGTCCACAAAAGGTTATGCCAATGAAACTATTACCCACAACAGGTTGTGTACCTAAAGGATGACCAGGATGAGCAAAGATCTGGAAACCACGTCTTATGGAGAATGGCTTAGGGAGCTGGTTATGTTTAGTTTAGAGAAGAGAAGATGGAAAAGTGACATGACAGCTATCTTTAAATATCTAAAGAGATGTCATGGAGAAGATGGAGAGTACTCATTTTCTGCTATTGAGAAAATGGAAGAACTCATTTTCTCAGATTTAAGAAAATGAGAGGACTCATTTTCTGCTATTAAACATATTGGTTCAAATTACAAGAAAAGATCCCACTTAAACATTAGGAAGACCTTCTTTACTGGAAAAGAGCTGTTTGACAGTGAAATAGACTGCCTGGGAGGATGGTGAACTTTCCATCTTCCAAGTCCTTTAAACAGAGGTTGTGTGGGCATCTTTCAGGAGTGCTTTAGTTGTGTATCTCTGTGTAGCCGGGGCTTGGAATAGATGGCATTTGTGGACCTTCCAGCTCCAAGATTTGAGGCATCAACATACCACAAGTGAGTAAGTAATAGATTTATTTCGGTCATAGACCAATATAAAAATAATATAGAATAAAACATACAGAAATAATGTGCAATTATTAAAACAAATCAGATACAAAAGCAAAGGAAATCAGAATTGGTCTCTGCCATCTAACTTCAGTTGTTACCAATCATCTGAGAGCGTGTTTTACATATAATGTAAGAAAATTTTGCTACCTTAAGTAGAACAGTTTGATTTTGACTGTCCAGCAAGTAGCTTAGATAAAAAACATCAGTGTGTCCAAGAAATTTGGTTAGAAGAGGAGTAATCAGCTGATGACAAATGTCCTTGTAAAAATGGGTTATTATTTTAATGTAAGCCGCCTTGATAGCCTTGGGTAAAGGCAGGGTAAAAATAAATTATGATTATTATTATTATTTATTATAAAAGTACATGAGCTATAGTTTCTGTTGCTCCAGAAACACAAGGACAGAGTCAAAGTTCATGGGGGATTTTCGTATATTTCCCTTCCAGAACCGCTGTATGGAGAACATTGAATCAGGCTAATGATAACGCTCTCCTGAACTTAGGCACTGTGACATAATATAAGAAAGAGGCAGGGTTGATATTTTTAAGGCCAGCCTTGGTATTTTTAAGGTTTCCCATGAGAACAGGATCCAGGAAAGTACAGGGAGAAGGCTCAAAAACGTGTCACCCCCACTAGTCCCCAATACCTTAAAAACAGACACAGACACCCCTTGTTCCTTTGTTTGCTTTTAGAATAGAAGTTGGCAACACCAGCATTGCAGGGATAAAGGGAGGGTAAGGTTTTCTCTTCTTGTTGTGCATCACCTTTAGAAGACCTCTAGACAGGTGTATTTGACATCTCTGAGCCTTGGATATGTTTTTTTAAACAGTCAGTAGCACCATTCGGGTTTATGTCACCCAGTAAGGCAACTCATGGTGTCATCGCTATGGGGAAAAAACAACCCTACCTCCAAATTGTTAATTTGCAATATATTTTTTCTCGTGTGTCTTAGACATCTCCAATGCCCCCCATTGCAACTGACTAAAATTACGATCTTCGGCATGCCGACATGGAGAAAAATAAATGGGCAGATTCGATCTGTACCAATCTGCTTCTTCTCACCTGGGAGGACCCACTCTGCCCTCATACATATTCATTTTTTAATATAATCTTTACTGTTTTTTCAACAAGCATCATAAAAGTTTAAAACAGTTTTCCATTTGCAGCTATCACACACCTCCCCCTTCTAGACTGCAACAAAAAACTTAACAGTGTATACATTTAAAACACAAATACATTTCCATACTTCATTCGCCACTTGTACAAATCTAATTTCCTTATCTATCCCCTTGATCCTTATATTCTCTATTCCAAGGAGCCCCCATACATATTCAGAGGTAGCCATCTTGGGCCATATAGCAAAGTACAATAACATCCAAAATTCTCAAAGCAGGGATACCTTTAATTGGCCAACCAAATTGCACAAAATACACGGTGCAAGCTTTTGAAGCTCCACTGGCTTCTTCATAAGCCCAGTGATAAACATTGTCATTTTATAATTTTTTTGTCTCCTGTAAGATTCTTAACACTTTTGACTGATGAAGAAGCCAGTGGAGCACTGAAAACTTGCATCATGTATTTTGTGCATTTTGGCTAGCCCAATAAAGGTATCATTGTTTTGCGGATTTGGGGTTTTATTGTACTTTACCTGAACCCAAGTGGGTACGTAAATCAGTCTATTCCCTCACCATTGATCTCATGGCTGGGCACCTTGTTCTGGCTGAAACCTTTGACCAATCAATCAATCAATCAATCATCTTTATTGAATTAAGTCTTCAGACCATTTCACATATAAACATAATAATTAAACATTACAAAATAATAGAATAATAAAATAGTAAAATATAAAGATAAAAAATGAAAATATAAAAAGATAAACATAATATATATGTCAAAACATATACTTAGAATGTCTTTGAATCAGATTATTCTCATCTAAAATTAGAGCAACACTCTAATTTAGGACTTTGGCTATGACCATGCAGAGCCCTTTCACTTTGGAGCACCTTTTCAAGCTGAGCCCCTCTTGCAAAGTTTTTCCCAAGTCAACCAGCTTGGCCATGGAAACCTACTGGGTGATCTTGGGCAAATCACACTCTCTCAGCCTCGGGGAAAGGCAATGGAAGAAACTTGCCAAGGAAAGCCCCTGATAGGTCCCCCTTAGGGTTGCCATGTCAGAAATGACTTGAAGGCACAAAACAACATCATTTTATAAGGAAATAACTTGGTTCAAATTAGAAGTTCTGTTTAAGTAAATTCGATATTTAGCTCAAAACATTTGTAGGTTTTAAACATTTTAAAAGTGTGGGAAAAGGAGAAGGAGGAGGAGGAGAAGGAGGGATCAGAGCTTCCAGGAAGAATTTCCATAATAGTATGTAGAGAGATCTTGTAGCACCTTTGAGACTAACTGAAAGAAAGAAGTTGGCAGCATGAGCTTTCATAGACTTCAGTCTACTTCCTCAGATGCATATATGTGCTACTAGATCTCTCTACATACTGATTCTACAGACTAACATGGCTATATCTTTGAACACTTCCATAATAGATTCTGAACTTGGATGGCTCTTTTAAAGTTCAGAATAAGACCTAGAGCAGATCCACTGCTCCAATGACATAGCAGCATTGGAAAAATTTCAGTACTAAGAAGACTGTTAAAGAACTTCTACCAGAAAGAGGGGAGATATAAT